GATCCAAGTGATTTTTGACATTGTCATTTCAAGTAAATGTCTTACAGTTAAAAAAAAAATTGTATAGACTGGAACAAGTAATAATCTGAGTGTGCTCGATCTGGTGAATACAGTTGGTGTGATAGCATGTCCCATCTAAGTTATAACAGTTTCTGATGAGTTACCAAACTTGTGTGAAATTTGACATTATTGTGGTAAAACACTACACCTGTTTTGTCAATCAATTCTGGCCGCCTTTTCTGTTTAATGATATTACTCAATTTGTTTACTCAATGGCAGTACACTTTCAAATACATTGTTAAATTGTCTGGTAAAAGCTCCAAAAAAAAATTTCCTTAATATCCCACCAAATAGAGCATTTCTCTTTAAGAACTCGTGGAATTCATATATCGAGCTTTGAAACAAAACCAATTTGTTTCAAGTACTCATAAACAGTTCAATTTGACAAATTTAATCTCTTAGTGATTTCACATGTTGTTATTCGGCAGTTTGCTTCAATTGGTACTTTTATTTTGTTTTCATTGGCTTCAATTGACCATCCATAACGTGGTGCATCTTCAATACTGAAATTGCGAGAACCAAATTTTGTAAACCAGTTTTGGCACTGTCATTCTGTCAACACATCTCCACCATACATGTCACACGATTTTTTTCTTGCTTGAACATCATTTTTATTTTTTTGGTAATAAAAAAGCAAAATATGCCGAAGATGCTGCTTTCGATCTTCCATATTTGATGGGACACAAAAAATAAACAATTGCATGAAATCAAACAAAATTTTTTACAAATAAGCCATAAAATGCTAGCTGTCAAAATATATAATGATAATACGGTTTAGAACAAAAATGGCGGGAAAAATACAACTAATCTGTCTAGTGGTAAAAAAAAACGAACTTACTTTCCAAACAACCTAATAAAATCTAAGTGACTTGTATAACATGGAAATCATATAAAACAGAATTATCAGCAGTGTTACAGGGGGGGTTGACTGTACTGTTACAATGGTTTTCAGAGGATGGACAACCTTTCTTCCAGGAAAGGCAGGAAAAAATTGAAATGTAGGAAGGTCATTGAGAAAAAACATTACAATTTACAATCACGGGAGCATACATTGAAAAATAAAATTATTTTGTTGCTGTGAGTATCCTTTCTATATCAGGGGAGAGCATAAGGATCTGCCCCATATATACAGAGATAATTCATAAGTAAATATACATCCTGAATGACAGCAAATGCATGAGACAATTTTACTCTAAAAAAATAATACATTGCCATATTGAAGAAAGGGCTTCTTTGAACACTCTCTGGTGAGCTGATTGACAAATCCACTCTGTTCTTGGATGATGGAGCTCCTTATCACACTACCAAAAAGTATTAGAACTAGCTGGCAACATAAGGCATCCACAAGCTTCTATGAGCTATTCAGTCACCTGACATGAATTCAATTGAACATGTTTGAAATCTGCTGGATCATGCAGTGTGACAGTGTTCATGAAAACCAACTTCCTGTGGAAACTTTTAGAATGTATGTGCCAAGTGGGCCAACATACTACATGATAAGATAGCAAAACTTATTGATTCTATGCTCAACCAGGTTAGGGCATCAAAGTGTTAATATGTATATGTGGCATTTGTATCATGTGGAGACTGAAATAAAAGGTGTCTGAAAATACAGCTGTCTATTTATGGGCTGTCTATGTACAGATGAAACCTTTTTTAAGACCTTTCATTTTAATTTCAGATCCCTTGACTTCCAGCCCAAAGTTGAGTATCTAAAGATGAACGGTCTCAAAAAACATTTTATCTATATATACTTCTGACTTAAAATCTTTCAAGAATTTGTTTTTTGGGGTTTTATGTTCTTTTTTAAATGGAGTCATTCATACAAAACAGCTTTATAGAACTGAATATAAAATTTTCAGTTAAATCTGTTTTGTTAAAAAATTGCCAAAAATTATCATCATAATTCAAATATCTAATGTAAGAAAATTAATTTGTTAAGAATAAAAAACATCCTTCATACCTATGTCACAAATCTTTATAAAAAATTTTTGTAAAAACTACAGACCGATGACATGATTGTGAAGAAGAAAAAACAGGAATATAATGGAAAAATCTATCTCGTACCTATTGAAATTGATGTTAAATATAATAATAGACAGAAACAAATAAAAGTTATTTTGTCCATTCATTAAATTGTATACTTCAATATAGAGAGATAACACTATTTTAAACTCATTTATTAAGAAACAATTTTATTGGTCAATACAAAAGAAAATAAGAGAACCAGAAGAAATGAATATACCTATGCCCATAATTTCAAATATTTACTATTTGTTTTAGGATATTAAGTAACAACTCTCCTTAAAATTTTGATTGTTAGCTAAATTTATCAAACAAAATCATTTTATATAATTTATATTAATCTTTATAAATTGCTGTTCAAAGTTATTGCTTTAAATTTTCCATTAAATATTTACAACAATAACTCATACCATAAAAAAGTGACTTAAAATTTTTTCTTTAGACATTAAACAATAACAACTTTTTTCTTAATCATTACTCAAGATTTTTGTAATCTGTATAATCTACATTCTACATTCTAGCTATCTAACATTACAAAACATGAAGATAGCTGATTTCACAACTAAAAACATTAGAACAACATATTCATAATGAAAGTTCCTCAAATATATAAGCCAACTGTTTCAAGAAAGATTATAATAATCAATCCAGTTTTCAGTTTTTAATGTTTAAACTATTATTTAAATTTACAAAAATTTGTAAAATGTAAAATTTACTAATTTTTGTACAACTCATCTTCATTTAATGATGAATTTGCACTTTAACATAAAAATAAAAATTATTCAAAATTAATTTAAAATATAAATAACATAGCAGACATTTTACATTTATATTTAAGTATTTTTTTATTTTTAAATTTTGTTTATCCTCATTGTTAAATATTTAAAAATATTCAGTGTAACCCGAGGATGATGACCTATTAAACAGATAAAAAATGTCCATTTGTAAAATAATTTGCTAGATATATTACTATATCAGACACACAAAACACCGAGATTCAATAGTGATTGGAATGCATACAATTCCTACTGGTAGTAAAATATTTTATCATATGTATTTAAAAGATCATAAGACAACATAATCATCTCTCCTATGTGCATGATTATATCATGATATATATATAACAGAATTTTTCAAAACTGGTTTTTTTGTTCATCACATTCACAAAAACATGTTCCAAGACATCGAATCTGTCAAATGAACATTACAGTACTTTTTATTACACAATCATTTGAATTTAATGTTAAAAACATTTTTTAAATGTACTTTACATTAGAAACATGTTCAATCATTACATTCAGTAAAAATATAATATCATAGCATTAAGATGTTTAATCGATGATTCAAACTTTTATATAGAAAGAGAGTAATTTTGAAAGACTATCTCATAGTAAGCACATGACAGAATCCACGCACTTTAATTAATACACAAATATGATTAAATCTGTAATTCAATTTAATTAAATATCAATTTTAGCGTGTACAGTTACATTAGTCGCTTTAAACAAAACCAAAATCATACTTTTCCAACCCAATAAAGAAAAATTATTATTATTAAGGCAAAAAATATAATTATATTTAAAATTATAGTCGAATTTTTAGATATGTACTTATATACTCTATATTGAAATCGTTAAGATAAAAATAACTTACCACCCCATATGCCCAGTTTTAACTGAGATCTGTCTAAATTTTCGACATAATCGCCTATAAATCTATTTAAAATGTCTACGACAACCGATTCGAAAACCATTTTGGACGAAGTTGTTTAATATTGGTTTAAAACGTGATTATCATGACCGTGCGTTCAGTTCTGTATAGAACAAACAGTAGTAGATATTGCAGACAACTGGGTGTGACGTCTGCAACCAAGTGCCGGTTTCCCCCGTAGAAACGCATTCATAAAATTTATCTAAATGATTAAAAATCACAAGATTATAGATTATTTTACTGATATTATTTCCTTTCTTTTTATATTAATAAATATTTAAATATTGCTTAATTGAACAATGAAGAAAATTATATTATTATATTTCATTACTGTATTTATGTTTAAACTATTTTATTAGAATGTTAATCAAATTACATTCGTAACATTAACGAGAAATATAATACGTATGCTTATATGTAATTTAGTCTACATAAGCAAAATAAATTATTTAAGAAAAACACAAATTGTTTTCAGTTCCTAAATTATCATGTTAAATCAGTTTAAAATAACACAAATAACGTGAAATTATTTTGATTTAACAAATTTATTTATTACTTTAAGAGCATATAANTGAAAACATTTCCTTTTCCTAAGTTGGAAATAACTCTTAACATACATATATTTATATATATTTTACCAATATCTATACTAATATTATAAAAAGGTAATGTTTGTAAGTTTGGATGTAGCAGGTAATCTCTGAAACTACTCATCTGATTTCAAAAATTCTTTCAGTTTACGTCAATGAGAATGTATACTAAGAAAGGATTTTTCGAAAAATTCCCCCCTGGGGAAAGTGTTATACATTTATAATAGATACATTTTGAGCCACAACAATGCGTGGGGTCTGTTAGTTTACAATAAATAAATAAAAAATATCCACAAAATCATATGCTTGCTAAGCAAACAAAAAGTTTCTGTTGCCCAGATGATGATCATTCAGTTAACAGTGGTCCACTGTTAACTGAACTATCATCTTGACTATCGCCTATTGTGAATCACCCAGTTGACTATCACCCAGTAATGTACATTGACTAACTATTATTGATATATTAGAAGAGTGTACAGAAGATATACACAAAAAGAAACCCCATAAAATGATATTTCAAAGTCAAGAAGGTATAACATCCTCTAATAAAGAATGATAAGACTAAATTGATTTAAAATTTTATTTTAATGTTATCCTGTATTTTGAATGCACATTTCTATTTTTTTTTTTGAACATCCATGTATCTGGAATTAAATATAAGTTAATATATTTAATTCCATGATTCATTCAGAAAAAACATTCCAATAAGAACAAAGGCCTTTGTTCTTAATGAAATGTTTTTTTCTGAAGATGATTGTTTAAAACAACAGAAAATGTTAGAATAGTTATATATACTGCATTAAAAAGTTTTGGAGTGAGTATTCTAAATCCATACAATGCCTCTTAAGGTCATTTCCATTCATCATCATTAATATAGGAATATTGTAAAGAAAACCAAAAAGGCAATATGCTCTTCTCAATTTGTTTAAGTCTTTCTTCTGTAGAGATTATTCCTTGATCTACTTTTGCTAAAGAATAGTTCCTATAAAAATTTGTTTTGGGAGTATTCGTACACACATCCATTTCTTCAAATAAACATTTTTGTTTTCTTGATCTGAGTTCTTTGAATACAAGAGGAATGTCACATTTTGTACAAATTTCATTTGCTATTAATTTTGATTTTAGGAAACTATTTTCTCTAAAATTTTTAAAATAATGTATTGATCCCTTTAACAGTGATATTACTAAACTTATGCAAAAATTTGATACTGATTTATTTAGTGCAATTTACTATTATTATCATTAATTAATACTTACTTATCATTAAATACTTTTATGTTTAGTTCTTTTAAATGATTACCATTTTTTGTTCTACAAATGCCTAAATATGATGGAGAGAACTATTGTGATTCAATGAATTTCCTATGGATTGCAACTCCTAATTACCATTTAAAGGCTGGATGGTGTAAAAAAAATCAAAAATTAAAGTTCTTAAAGGCGGGCCCCAGACAAATGTTGCAGTTGCTCAGCTCTAATGGTGGTAATAACAGCAAATATTAAAATGAAAACCAAATTAATTAAAACTTCGGTTATTTTAGCCTACCATTATCGTATTTATTGTGATACTTTGATGGTATGAAATGGCACAATTGCATTAGTCAGATAGACAAAAATTGATTTTTTCAACAGAAAACAGGCATTGATGTTCATGTGCAAAATAAGCTAATTCAAGATATTCAAAGTTTTCTAATGTTAACTTAATCATGTAATTCACAGATGAATATGAAATGGCAATCAGTCAACCAATCAAATTTATTAAAAAATAGACCTAATATTTAAACTTGGCACACTCAAAAATGTCTAAAAACATATTTTGTGCTCACTGGTAACTTTGTATTAAGTAATCTTCCTATTCAAATTCTACACTCTCACTGGTCTGATAAAAAGGGTGTCTTATTGCAGGATGAAGTTAATCTGACCAAAGCAGTCATTGACCTCCTCCTGGATGAGAGGACAGTCCCTAAAAAGTTTCATTGTATTTGCTCAAACTGAGTTGAAATGTTTAAAGAACAAACTAACTTACTTTACTTAGAATATATAGTACAGTCAACCCCCCTATAACACGGTAGATATGTTCCTTTCTTTATGAAATTCATTTTTTAAAGTCCTTAAATATATGAGCCAATCACAGCCCGGCACATATGCGGTTTACGGACTACAGCTGTTTGAAAAGTTTTCTTCCATAAAATTAATCAATTCTACACTAATTTGACTCAACATTTCTAAAACATGTATAATTTTTTGGTAATAATTCATATAAACTATGCTATAAACAAAAAATTGTAGGATTACATACTGAGTGTGCACCGTTTGACGTTGCCATTGCTTAAGCTTGTTTTCATCGCGGAGCAGCGCACCAAATGGCGGGCACATTTTCTGATAAGTTATTTTTCTGCGAAAAATTCGTTGAACTTTGGAGACACCATTAATAGAAATAATTTTTATGGCTGTTAAATAATAAATGGTTTTTAGCAGGTCCATTGCTCATTTAAACTCCACAGTTTGTGCAATATCCGCTATTGGTCTAGATTCAACCAATCCTGTTGCAACACGAGTTGGCGATGACGTTTTACTGAATTATACGAGTCTCTTTTAGCATGTTTATACGAATACAGTCGCAATTTTTTCACCGTTATATACAAATTCGAATTATATGAACCCGTTTTATAGGGGTCTACTGTATGTAAAGAAGAAAAATACCAATTAAAAATGTAATTATGACCTAAATGATTAAAATTATATTTTTATGTAAATGTAAAATAATTCAAATTAATTTAAAATCTAAACCTTTTCAATGTGTAACCTGACCAAAAAAAAAAATACTGAAAGTAAAAACAAACAAAAAAAAAACATTTTCTTTGTTCTTTAACTCCCTCACTAAGTATTAAAGTTTGATTTTAATTAGGTTACAATTTGAAAAAATTGTAGATCTATAAATTCCCACTGTCATCCATCTGTCTTTCCTTAATCTAGAGAACAGAGTTAGAAAGACAAGACCAGATAAGTAAACCTTAGGGCAGGAAGCCCTGATTAACTATTTACAAACTTCTGATGCAAACCAAATCATCATGTCACAATAATCTATTAACATTTTACATAAATTGAGCCCCTTTGTGTTATTCTAACATATTCAAGCAGCACACCACATGCCATAATTTTAATCACATACACTGAACCAATTTATGGTGTGGTACGATTGACTAACAAATACAAAAACAAACGTTTTCAAACCCTTTCGAACACCCATGCCATAATTTCCACTTTGCTAAAATTTCCTAAAAGTAAATAAAGTATAAATTATGCAAAATTTAATGAAAAATTTTATTAACATCATTTTCAATTACATACACAAATATTTTTAACTATATAAAGATTTTTAAAACTGAACATAAAACCCAAAATATAAATGCTTAAAAGGTTTTAGGAGTCAGAAGTACAAGAGTGGATCCTTAAGTCCTGTTCCTGAATGAAATACCAAGCAAAGAGCACAATTAAATACCTCCAAAAAAAAAAATATGAATCCAAGAGAAAGAAATCCACAAGGATTTGGAGGTAACTTTTAGGTGAAACTTTGAAGGAATTTTAGGTTATGCTGTTTCACATGACTTAACCCAGCAATAGGTATGTTTCATACTTGATGTTCTTCCTTACATACTTAAAAAAATTAAATAAAATGGAAACAATACAAAAAAATTTGTGCTTACTTAGTAAATATATACTTTAATATCTATATGTATAAATATAAATTAAAAAGAAAAATTTATATACATAATACTAATGCATTATTTAACCTTGCTAATGCAATGTGTGCATGCATACTTCAAATATTTTAGGCATGTGGGTGTTTTGCAGTTTATAAAAAACAATGTAGTTTGGAGGCAGATGTTTGCACCATTTACTTTGCCCATCTCTACCCTTATAACTTTTTCCATTCGCATCTGAGTCCACTTCTACACTTTTTCTCTCTATTGTCACCAGTCTTCTATTTTAGTATCAGTGTCATTGTTTAAAATGTGATTATTATCCATTTCACTCCCTTCTGTATCACAACTTTTATCTTCATCACTGCTTTGTAGCAAAATCCCAAAAATTCTCTACTCGTCATTCAATGGAAGAAAATTCTTTTGCACCTATAGAAAGAAAATGGCCAATATGTAAATGTTCAAAATAACACTTGTACACAAGCCTAAAATCTTGCAAATAACAACATTTACAAATAAACATTACATTAAAAATTATACTTACCATGCTTTCATTTCTACAGAAACTACCACTTGATGTCTTGGATGGTGGCAGTCACCCCATCCAGTATCGGTATTCCTTCCTTTCATCTTTTTCTCACAAAAAGTACACAAATGTTAAATAATTAGGACACTAACGTTCACAAGTACTTACAGGAAAGGTACTGAAGTGCCCAAAAAATTCAAACTGACATTTATACACCGTATGCATTAAAATATCACTGGGATGACTCAGCCACCCATGAGTCCAATCCCAGGTTAAATGATGGTGTTGTGAATTTAAACATTGTAGAACTTCATGTATAGTGAAAATGGTGGCAGTCTATTCTGAGTCATAACAGTCACTTAATGTTGACAAAGTGAATAATTTA